ACATCTTTTATAGGGTTACTATTCGAACTACATACTATATCACAAAGTCTTGACCTATTGAATCTGAAAACTTCATTAGCCTTTCCTTTAATCTTTATTTAATTCTTATAAATCTTGTACCACATTAATTTCAATACTGTTGAAGTATTTATCATCATCTTCGGTTCTTCGGACTCTCTAAGCAATCACTACTTCAATCTGGACAGTGGTGGAACAATTTCATGGATTTGCACCAACACATATATCTTGTCCAAATGTCTTTAAGACGTACATCATTCTTCTAAAGATGTTATTATTTCATCAAATTTATACTTTGAATGTACAACACCACTTTATTGGTATTAATACACTATTTACGATTTCACTTAGTAAATATTATTTTACGATATCCCTCGATCGTTTGTCTACAAACTTATCGATGTCAACTATCATAAGTCTCTTTATCACTTCGAAAAGTTTCATGGAAATTCTAATACAAAAATTCTTAGAATTCTAAACATAAAAATTTTCTTTTCTAAACGAAGGTCACAACATACCTTAAACTTTCTCAAATAATAGCAATTATAGATAAGCACTCTAAGGCATGCTATATTCATTTATCATTTAGCACATATTAGAATATAAGGCATATCTCCTCTTAATATACTAGTACTTGTCTCTATTAGGTATTCAACCTAAAGTATACCGGATACATATCGTATGATCTTCACTTAACAATTCATGTTTAAGTCTAGAAATTCTCAAAATTCTTGGTTCACTTACACTAATTCTCTGAAAATTTTGAAGTAACTTAATATCTTAGAATATTAGGTTTATCACTATCCAATACCCCAATTAAGTATTTCCTATGGTTTGTATCCATATAATTACTATGAATCCAGTTCATATATTGAACTTTCAACAATTTAAGTCTAAATACCAATCCTTGGTATTTAGTTCACTTAAACCACTGCTCTGATACCATTATTGAAAGACCCACACTTTCATAATCGAAACAGCTATTATTCCAAAACATGCTACGTGCATGTTTATAAAATAATATTTTACATTGATAAAGTGACTATAAAAAATTGAATACAAACCGACTATGTTTTAATATTTTACATAACTACCCAAGATATTGTAATTTTATACATACATAAACCGAAGTACAAAAGTAATGGTAAAAACTATTCTACATCTTCCAACATTATATAATCATACTGGTTACTTATCTCCTGCAATTGTTAAACATTGAGAGTGTAAGCGCTGACGCCTAGTGAGTTCAATAATAGATACAATATAACGTTATGCCATATATATATATATATATACACACACACACACACTTCAATATGGCAGAAGCAAAGAGGAACAAGGAACAACAAAGGTATATGTGAATCATGTGACAAACTTTCCATATCAATCGAGGATTTGATTTAAAGACATACAATCAATGAGTCATAACAATTTTCAAAACTTGGTATATAACGCTTCGGCCCAAATGGCACATAAGACATACAATTTCTGATTTAAACATTATGGTATACTTTAGGTTTTCACGCCCTGTATAACCTTCTGCCAATGCCATAGAATAAAAGTCATTGTCTTGCGAGAAATGATCTACATGGCCAGAGGCAACATACCTTTAGCCCTATCTAACCTTCTACTAATGCCAGAGAATCGAAATCATTCTCTTGCGAGACATGCTCTACATGGCCAGAAGCTACATACCAGTACCACGGTGAATCTAAGTCCTTTCACTGATCACATGGTCAAAGGTATAACTTTGCTATTAAAATAGCGAATAAAATAACACGGGAAAAATAATCCGGAATAATAACACTGAAAAGCGCATAGCACATATAACACATAACGTACAATTGTTCACATGTGTTAAACTTACCTTGAAATAATTGGTGGTTAAAATAGTAATTTGAGCAACATTTCGGCTCCAAATATGACTTTATTCGTTGAATACCGGGAGATTTATTAAAAAACCAGCTTATGCAAAGGTAGAGCTTCAAACCGAAAAGATAAATTTCCCGGGCTTCACGGGCACTTCGGGACGTGTTTTCGGGTGTTAAAAATGATATCGGGGCTTCGAGGGATGTGAAAATAATAAGGATATTAAAAGGGGGTGAAAACTGGATAATTTCCCATTTTACTCGGGAGGGTTCGCAACCCTCCTATTTATAGGGTGAGATCCGGAGTCATCGGCCGAGAGGGGTGAGACAGCGAGGGCAGGTGGCAGTAGGATGCGAAGGCACGCGACACGCATGCGATGGGCCACTTGTGCAAGGTTTGGACATGAGACGGAGCGAGGCACGTTGGACGCCTGTTGGCTGCGACTTTGGTCGAATCCGAAAGTGGCATGCATCGATTGGTCGGACACGAGGCTGATCGCGAGAGCGGTGACGTGGCCGACACTATTCATGCGAGAATTCTCGAAAAGTGTGCCCCAATCTTCTAAAATCCATAACTATCTCAAACGGACTTGGTTTTTTACGTTCTTTATATGCACGCGTAGGCGGGAATATAATATACAACTTTCGTTTAGACTTCGTCGGCTAATTTTGAATTTAATTTTAATATGATTATTTTTAACAGACTGGGATAGGAAAATCCGTTAAAAATTCATTACTTTTTTATCCAACATCCGTTTTTGTCACACTTTTTACCATTTTACTACTATCGTCGAGACCTTCGATTCTTGTTTAGGTTGTGTCGGCTAAAAATCACTCGATCTAAACTTCGAGTTTTTAGTTGTCTACTGCAAAGCTGAAACTTAGAAAAATCATAACTTGCTCATACGAAGTCAGATTTTGGCATTCTTTTTATCGAAATTCTCGGTTTAATGAATGCTACGACTTTCATTTAGATCACTAAGGCTAAAAAGTGGTTTATCAAAAACTCACTTTTTACGTTATTCGGCGTCGTGCCGGTTTTGTCGCGGATCTTCGATTGGTCATAACTTCTTCGTTATAACTCGGATTTCGACGAGGTTTTCTCCTACATGTTTCTAACGAGATGATCTACAACTTTCAATAATAAAATTTTACTTATTTCAAATTTTATATTTTCGCTAAATTTCACTATTTGATATTTTAATTGGAATCTCATAAGACTTCCAATATAATATGAGTGATTCTAAACATAGCTTTACTTCAATTCTAGTAAAAACTATCCGTTAGAACTCAACACTCAATTTTACATAATATTTCATAATATTATTCCCTTTTATAATTTACAATACACGATTTCAAAACGTGTATGTTATATAATGCAACCATGAAAGAAACTAATACTTATGAACTCACCAGCTTAAATGTTGATCATCTCTTTCAAAATAACATGTATTCTCAGGGAATCCAGTATACAGGTACACTCCCGGAGCTTTTGAGAAGACAACCTAGTATCGTGTTGTGTCTTTTGTCTTTTTCTGTATCTACTTTTGATGTCAAATATCAAATATTTTAACATTTATGTAAAAACTTATACATTATTAATGCAATGGTTGTTGTACTTTGATTACTATAATGTATGTGTTGTGATACTTAACATGATTTCCTCCACCCCCGAATGTTTCCGCCGTTCTGGTTTGGGGGTGTGACACACTCGGGCTACCGTATCGTGAAGTCCTCTCACTCTAACAAGCTGGAAAGAGTGATTAGTCTCTGGATCTACAAGCTCCCTTTTGTTCAATGCTTATCTATAAGTTTTCTTTTTCTTCAATATGCACCACACACACCAAAACATACACTCAAAGGTCAATCTCTTTGGGAAATGGATTAGGGTTTTGAGGTATAGCTTAAAGAATGATTAGGGCGGATAGGGTGAGGGTTTGGGGGACTTAATGTGTTTAAATAGGGTGCAAACCCTAAAAATCAGGGATTGTCCATGACTGACATACGCCTAGCGTATTAGGGGGACACCTCGCCTCATGCATGCATTGGAGTATGCCTGTCATACCATATGTACGCCCAACGTACTCGGGTCCAAGAGTCCAAATGAATGAGTATAGTTAATTAACATTTACGTGACATATCAAGCGTTACATATTAAGTCAGATTCATATTGTGAATGTTAAAATTAAAATATTTACAGTTTAGATTCACAATGCGAATCTGAATTGATAGATTTTTTTCTTTTTCATTTTTTAATCGTTGCTGGTGTTAATTATCAGAGGACAAAAGATTGATATTTTTGGTATAACTAGGTTTTTTTTGATAAAAATAAACTTAAATATTGAAAAAAACAACAAGACGAAGTGAGTTTTATTCGAAAAAAATAGTTTATGTTTTATATATCAATATAGATCTTTATAGAAAGAGAACGGAAATTCATGAACAACGGTATATTCGGTTTTTTTTCGATAAAAAACATACCTTACTTTTTTTTTAACGAAAACAAGAGGTGCGTTTTGGTAAAAAGGAGGGTTTATGGTATAATTTGGTGTATGTGCATCTAATATACAAGTGTATATCAATCTTTGGCCATTGATTATTATGATTTAAGACGATTACGATTGATTCCTTGGTTATTAGTTAATAATATTTGTTTATTGAACCTATATATATATATATATATATATATATATATATATATATATATATAATTTTGTAATTTTTTTAATGTGTAACTAGACATTATTTATTATTTGTTTTAATTAATATATATCAATAAACTGAATTAAAATAATTATATTGCCTTTAGTAATAAAAAAATATCATATTGCCATGTGATATAAATAAATAAAAACTTATATTTAATAAATTTAGATTGAGTTGATATCCACTTGATAAGAAAAAAAATGTAAAAGTCAAAACACATAACTTTCAATCACTCTCCTTTGAAAGTTTCAATCAACTTGGTTTCGCAGCTATATATATTTCTTTCCTTTTGCACCGTTTTTCAAATCCATACATGCAAATCATCGACCGATTCAGTCAAAAGGAAGAAAGTTCCTAACGGACCTAATCAGATATCTGTTTCAATATCTAAGAAACAAGAAAAAGATCATGAAAAGCAAAGCGACATCTCAAAGGAAACCAATAACAATTGTTTGGATCATCAAGACGCCAATAAGAGCTCTATGTAAAGCCAAAGATATTTACATTAAAGGCATCACCAATTTCAGCAACACATATAGTCGCCCTGTGATGATCCTTGAAGAGGCTAATCGTACAACCATGCAGCTTCCCCGGAGTTTCAGCACCACCATGCTACCTGACGATCACAGTCGCCATCAACAGCCGGAAGAACTAGTCAGGGCTAATTCCACCAGCAGCACTCACATTAGTATGGCCGATCTCGAACGCTACATGATACAAAAGCAAAACCACCGATTACAACCATGTGCCTCAAGGAAAGGTGTGCCCAGAAGTTGCAGTGTTGGGATGGGGAGAATCGATGAAGATAGGGCCTCGTCTTTCAGAGACGACTGTGTACTGTTAAAAAATAAGGTCGTTGTTAAGGTTAAAAATTCAAGACTTTCTACTAATTGCAGTTAATTATGCTCGTGTGATGCACCTCAATATTAGAACACACTTTATGTTGAAGTGTTTAACTCTTGTTATTTTGGTCTCCTTTAATGTGAATGCACGAATTTATGTGAAAAAGTGGATATGGGACGAGTCATGTTATGCTGTTTTGTTTAGAATGAATTTGATTGTTTTTGCAAATAAATTGTTGTATTATTCAAGAGATACAGGGATCTAGCTGTATATCTTCGTAGCGTTGAATCGTGGGATTGAAGTATAATTAAAATAGATAAAATACAGATAAGGTTCAAGAGAGAGGCTACCACATCGTTTACAAGAAAAAATCAAAATAGTTTAAGTTGACTTTCATATACTACTACAAAAAAAACTTTATATTACCCGGTTAAATCAATTATACGACCCGGTTTTGAAAACCGGGTTCTTTTATACTTAAAAAAACATAGTTTTACTGAGAAAATCGGGACGGGTCCATTGTTTTTGGTTTTTAGGTCTAACCGAAACCAAACCGTTGAAATTTTAAAATCGAACCAAACAAAACCGTTACTAACGATTTGGCTCCGGTTTAAATTTATAGTTTGCGTTTTTTAGGCTCATTTTAATCGAGTCCACTGGACTAATTTAGTAAAAAAAAAATGCACCATTAGAGTTATTAAGATAGCCAAAATTCTGTCAAACATTGTTACAAAAACTTACAATATTAAAGCTGTCAAAACAACAAAATTTTTATCTAACATTGTTAGAAAAATTGCAATATTAAAGCTGTCACAGCTAAAAAAAAAACTACCAAAACAGTAAATAAAAAGTAGTAAATGAAAACATCAAATAGTGTCTTATTACATCAAATATTAGACTAATACACGCAACTTACTAAGCTGTTCAAAACAGCCAAATTATTGTTCAAAAAACATAATTACCAAGCTCACTTCCAAATGTTATCCACTTGCAAAATGCTATTCAATTCATAAGTTTTTGCTATCTAAAAAAGTCGATATTAAAACAACACACCAAGAACTCAATATAAAATCATGAGAAGAAATGTACCTTTCAATCGATATTGTGGGTGCAAATTTAAGTTTGTTTGCAAAATCTGAAATACAAGTTTTCTTTTGTTATGATGGGTCAAATATTATGGTTTATATTTTGCTTTTATAGGAAAATATATTTTTATGTAATGCTATATATGTTTGCGGTTTGTGTGTACGGCCGTACACAGGGTGTGCGGCTGTACACATGTGTATGGCTGGAGGTCCATATAAATAGAGGAGTGCATGTGGGAGTGTACGGTAAAGAGATAGAAGTCTAGAAGAGAGAGAAAGCTAGAGAAAAGAAGTGTGTGTGTGAGAGAATCTATTGTAAGGAGCATCATTCATATTGAATACATCAATAGATTCATCATCTTCTTCTTCACCTTCTCTTCTATATGAGCTGACATCATCCAATTGATTGGGATTCCGCACCATCAGTTGGATCTGATTGATACACAAGCAATTTTGGGGACTTATAATTGGTATCGGAGCTTGGTTGTATCAATCAATTTTGTCAGATCTGGAGCTCATTTGATCTTATTTTGAAAAGAGAATAGCATTTTTGGATAGACCTCGCAAAAATACGGGGGTTACTTCTTTGCATTTTTCATGAAAACGAGATTTTGATCGAGTTTTAGAGCAAAAAAGGATGAAGAACGTCGTTTTTTTCGCCAATCTGTTGAAGGTGTGCGGCTCGGAGAGTTTCTCGCGTGTGCGCTCAGCTTAAGTGTTCGACGCGCACATTTAAAAAAATAGGGGGAGTATTGGGGCTACCGGGATTCGAACCCGGGTCCCTTAGTCCAACAACCAAACGCCTTACCATCTCATCCCACCATTATTTTGTGACATTTCTTCGGTTTTTTAAAACATAAGCTAGTTTTCTCGGTTCCAACTTTCAAATTTTGACATTTTCATTACCAAAAATTCAAAATTTTATTTTTAAAAACCTTTTTCAACCCAAAATTTTTTTTGGTTTTTAAGTTTTTGATTTTATTTTTATCTTTGACCTTAAAATTTTGACTTTGACTTTTAAAAGTTGACATTTGACTTTAAATTTTTGACTTTCTCGTTTGACTTTTAATTTTTCAAATTTGGCTTTTCGGTTTGACATTTAAGTTTGACTTTTCAAGTTTGACTTTTGAGTTTGACTTTTTAAATTTGACATTTAAGGTTGACTTTCTCGGTTTTTAAGTCAAAGGGCAATTAAAATATATATAAAAAAATTAAAAAAAATATATTATAAAAATAAATAAATAAAAAGGAAAATGAGTTCCACATCAATTCCGGTAAATGAAGTTTTATGTACTCCATCTTGTAAAGCTACGATTAAATTTCTTCGCGATCAAATCGATTTATTAAAAAGAGAAAATGAGGACCTTAAATACGTAGGCTATACTCTAAGGAAAAGTCAGAAACCTTTAAAAGCACAATTAGAAACCTTTAAAAGCACAATTATGATCACATTAAACGCAAACTTGCTACTGTAACTGAAGAACTTGATGCTTTGAAAATAAAGTGTGGAGAAACAAATGTTAGTTTCAAAAATTATACTGCATCAAGTAAGACAGTCGAGTCCTTAGTAGAAAATCAATTGAGTTTTAAAGATAACCAAACCAAGGGTCTAGGGTATCACAGTGTGCCCCCTCCTTTTAATCACAACTATAACCCACCCCTTGAGACCAATGAGGAAGAAATGCCTGCTCAGTATGGCCAAACCCCTGCTCTAGATTCATTTAAGACTGAACAATTAGGGCCAACTGAGGGTGCTAAGCTGAATGATACTAATGATTCTACTTCTTGTGCAGGTAAAGTAGCAGAAGATGAGAACAAGGAGAACATCATTGAACAAATCAACATCTCCTTGAACTCTGAATTTGTTGCTTCGAACTCAACTGCTTCTGATCAACCTGCTGTTGGTAAATACATGCCACCATTTCAAGCTAAACACAATGCCTATTGCAACTGTGCATGTGGGAAAAGAAAGAGACAAGTCAAAGATACGCCACCAGGGGCAGGAAGAAACAACTCCACAGTAAAGAAAAAGACATGTTTTCACTGTGGAACACCTGGACACATTGCCAGAAATTGTCCTAATCGCGCATACGTTCCCTACTATGCACAAGGCTGGCAGAACGTGCCAAGAGGGAGATTTTCTAAAAGAAACCCCTCAAGGTCACGTTCAGACCATGGTGACTAGAATGCCCACAAGGCCAAGAATCAAACTCCCAAGAACAAGAAGGGAAAGTTGGCCATGAAGCCAAATCCAAGTGATGCTCCCATGAAGCCAAAATAAAAGTCATCTCAACGGCCGACATCAAGTCCCAAATCAAGTGCCAAGGCACCCATCGGATAGAAAAAGAAATAGGTCAAACCCAACTACAAATAGGTTCCAAAGGCTCACTCTCCATAATCTTCTAACGACTCTAATATTTCTTCATCTTCTGTTTGTGATAAACAGGATATGTCATGGGAGAGAGTATCGTGGAAGGATGACAAAGGTCGAACCAGTTACAAAATGGACTGGGTTCCAAAGACCAACTGATCCCGCTCTGTGCTGGAGCAGCTATGGAGGCATATCATTAGACTTCGGTTTGTTGATAGTGGTTGCTGCAAGCACATGATAGGAGGCATCTCTCAACTGTACAACACTCAGAACATTGTTTAAGAGTATGTGTCCTTGCGGGAAGGGAAGAAAGGAAGTGATCACTCACGGGGTTTGTGCTTAATGACATGAAGAATTTTTGGATCTGTTTTGAGATTACGCGTGCTGTTCTCAGACCTTCTGGATGCAAATTCAATCAGTGACTTACGTTTGAGTTTTCTTCTCTATACTCCTGAGTTTTTCTTAAGCTGATTCGCTTTAAAGACTAATTTTTGTTTTAGGATAGTTTAAATTTGCGCATTTACTTTCGTTTCTCTCATATGCACAAATTTAGGGGGAGAAATAAAAAAAAACAAAAATTAAAAAATTTAAATAAATAAATAATAATAATAATAATAATAAAATGTTGGTTATGGAATGTTCTTGATGGAGATGTTTTGGGAAGTGAGTGATAACGGGCAATCTGAGTCTGCGTAACGTACCCAAAGTTGAAGGGTCTATGCTCTGGTTTGATGCATCGATAGGCACGAAGAATTTAACGGACTTGACTAGGTGCAGATGAACTTAAGGAATCTAGAGACTTGATAAATCTTGACCTAGATAGTTCCGTTTAGCCTGACAATACGATGCTTGGATAGGTTGAGCAGGGAGATATATATGGGAATCTACTCGTCACATTAAATGATCCCGTATTTGGAACCGTGGTTTAACTTTTCCTCGATGTGCGGATTCTGTCCTTAATTCCGGTATTGATGGGGCGACTGGTAAATTCAGATGAATTAGGTCTATAGAAAATTATTTTCTTTCTTTCTTACTGTTAGTCATATGTTGCCTCCTCTACGTGATTGGAAGAGATCCGACCTGGACTGCAACATATGCAAATCTATTTCTCTGCATATTATATGTATGAAATTCTTCTTATCTGTTAGCCATATGTTGTCTCCTTTGTGTGACTAAGAATCCGACTTGGTACACATCATATGCAACCTTCTACTTCTCAATCCCTCTAAAACTATAAGTGATAATAATCTGAAGCTATCTTCTCTCCTAATGATTGTCTGCTCACCCGATGTAAGGAGTACTCTGGAAGTCTTTGATTACTGGGGCATATCTGGAAGCGGGAAACATGTTACAGTACAATTAAAATTGAACACTCAAAGATTGTCTATAGATCTCGCTGCTCAATTTAGGTGGACAACAATATCCCTGGTCGTCTTCAGCTAAATGGTCCTTAAGATATAGTATCTAGAAACTTAGGATCATATATAATATCGAGGAACTTAGGATCACATTGTCTTGTCACTTACAGTATGTCCTAATTTTGTCACAATTTTTCGTGTTTAAGTGTACAACAATACCGACGATTGACCAAACAAAGACGT